CGATGCAGATTTAAAGCTACTGAAATTACTAATAAAAAAGAGGACATCATAAATTGTTTTCCTGAATTATTTATCATAATACTGATAAATCTTTCATTGCCACATGAAATTCGCGAACGAAATATTATATATAACATAAGTATATGCGAGATTAATTTATATTAATATCATATTTTAATTTACCAACCCGATAGTTTGATTATGAATATCCACTACACGATAAAGCTCTGCGAGTTTCGAATCAATTTGCTTCGATGAGAGATTAAACATAGTTAAATATGTAATAATCTTTTGTATTCGATGGCTAAAAATGAGATTTGTAAATAAACATTGCTTAAAAAAGAACAATAATTTTATTGTTTAAAATTGTTTTGTATATGTTTGTACAATTGATCAAGAGAATATACTCTTCAGAATAACATTTTTAAAAATTGTATTTAATGACTTAAGTTCCTTTTCTTTTTTTGGAAATATTAGATAGATTAATTTGTTGTATCTATAATATATACAAAAAATTTCATAAAAACTACATTGTATAACACATTAATGCATATTAACACTAATGTGTATTAACACATGCTGTATATTAATATTCTATATAATAAGTAAGGAAAATATAGTATTTCAAATAGTATTAAGTTTATGAAAATTATCAATCTTCCAATCAACTATAATTTTATAAATTTTAATTCATATTGTAAAAAATGTTGCAAATATAGTAATTATTAATATTTATTACATAATAAGTATCAGGGAAGATGAATATGATAACTTTACTTACCTAATAATTTTAAACAACACACTTGTATGATAACTATAAAGTCCAATTATCGATTCCGTACATATTATAGATAATGATCCAAATGTAACAACAAATAAAAAATCCAAGCATAAAATATAAAAATATATAGTTCGATTGACAGAAAATAATGTAATGTAACGAAGAATATGTCTGCGACAATCGTTCAAAGGCATTATGAAATCCATTGTTATAAGATAAAATAAGAATATACTAAATAATGTAACAGTTAAAAAAATCACACCTAAAAAAATTGGAAAAACCATTCAATAAATTATGTTTAAATTGGAATATTAATATAATATTATCATTGAAAAATTGTTCTTGTTGTAAAAATGAAAGAAAATCTAATATTTATGTTAAAAAATAATGAGAAAAAATTACAAATATTATACTTATGTATATAAGAAAAATATATAATAAGAACTAAAGTACAATGATAGATGTAAAAATATTTTGGAATATGTAATTTCTTGCAATGACAATGGTAATATTATACATTGATATATCAATGAAATTTTCTTACGCAAAAGTATTTCGATTGTGTGATAAGAATCATTGATGTATTTTGTTCGTATTTGTGTTTCTATTAAATCTTGTACTATATTTTCTTCCACACGCATATGATGAGATAAAAGTTTTAGCTATCAAAAAAAAAAAAAAAAAAAAA